ACCAAGAGGCAGTTGTTCGAACACAGCATGGGAACACTGAATGGTTTAAAATTAAGAAAGGTGTGTGACAGGGTTGTATTCTTTTACCATACTTACTCAGCCTGTATGCTAAGCAAATAATTTGAGAAGCTGGGTTATATGAAGAAAAACGTGGCATCAAGATTGGAGGAAGACTCATTAACAACCTGCAGATGATACAACCTTGCTTGCTGAAAGTGAAGAGGACTTAAAATATTTACTGATGAAGATCAAAGAGTGCGGTCTTTTGTATAGATTGCATCTCAATGTAAAGAAAACAAAAATCCTCACCACTGGACCAATAAACAACATTCTTATCAATGGAGGAAAGTTTGAAGTTGTCAAGGACTTTATTCTTCTTGGATCAACCATCAACACTCATGGAAGCAGCAGTCAAGAAATCAAATGACATATTCCATTAGGCAAATCTGCTGCACAAGACCTTTTCAAAGTGTTGAAGAGCAAAGATATCAGTTTGAGGACTATGGTGCACCTGACCCAAGCCAAGGTATTTTCAATAACCTCGTATGCATGCAAAAGCTGGACAGTGAATAAGGAAGACCGTAGAAGAATTAATGCATTTGAGTTATGGTGTTGGAGGAGAATATTGAAAGTGCCATGGGCTGCCAAAAGAACCAACAAATCTGTGTTGGAAGAATTGCAGCCAGAGTGTTCCTTAGAGGCCAGGATGGCCAAACTTCATCTCTCATACTTCAGACATATTGTCAGAAGGGGCCAGTCACTGGAAAAGGATATCATGTTTGGTAAGGTAGAAGGTCAGCAAAAAAGAGGAAGACCCCCAGCAATATGGATTGCCAAAGTAGCAACATCAATGGGCTCAAGCATGGCAATACTTGAGTTGGCCCAGGGTCAGGCAGTGTTTCATTCTGTTTGTGCATAGGGTTGCTATGAGTCAGTACCAACTCAATGGCACATAGCAACAACAACAAAATAGAACGCCCTGGAAGACTATATTATACTGATAACATGTCACATCCCCAGCTCTCTCCATCACTCCTTTACACTTGCCTTCTTCTTTGATTTCATGGAGACTATGTGACCTACTGGAGTCCTGGTATGGCACTGTCAGTTAATGCAGTGGACTGCAAAGTCAGTTTGATCTTCAAAGTTGGTGGTTCAAACTCACCAGCCACTCCTCACTAGTTATAAATCAGAATCAACTCTACAGCACTAAACAACAACACCTAAATTACTTATCATCCATGTCTTTGCTTCCTTCTCTGCCCTGAACTCAGTGTTTATGCAGGTAGATTATTTTCTCATCTGCACCTTCAACTCCTTCACCCCTATGCCCTTCTGTTATACCCACCCTTGTTGTTAAGTGTTGTTGAGTCAGTTCCAACTCATAGCGACCCTGTATAGGGTTTTCAAGTAGCAGCTGGTGAGCTTGAACTGCAGACCTTGTAGTTCAAACCAACTTGGCAGTCCAGTGCATTAACCCACACTGCCACCCACTCCACAATCTTATCTCCTGGAGCCTTTGGTTATACTTCCAAGCACACCTAGAGAAAGTCATACAACCACACAGAACCAAATGGATTTGGGTAACCACAAATTTATAGCTTCCTGATCCTTTACACTGCTCAGCTATCCACAGTCAGCTCCCCCTTCCATTTCTCTCAGAGACCTTCTCCACTTTTCCCAAGCCCCTCCTCAATTCCTATCCACACTTGTCTCCTGCTTCATGGCATCAATGGGGATATCAGGGAGGTTCAGCCCCCAGGAGCCCTTCCAATCCTGTGGACTATCTACAACCTCACTGTTGCTCTTTTCCTTTTCCACCTCTGCGTAGAATTTCTATCCACACACATCTCCTCTGGAACTTCACTCCATCATTGTAGTCTTTCAACCCTGCATGCTTAAAGTCTCATTCTGATCATTCTTTCTCCACAGTCGACAAAATCCATGAAGCCTCTCCTGTATGATTTTAAATCCGCCTTTGATCCTAGATCCTTTCTGGTTGTCACACCATCTCTCCTACCTTTATAGTCTTCATTTCTCAAATGAGTAAGCCACCCTCCCTGCCTCCACTCTTCATCTCCCATTCAGTCCTCAACCCATTGCAATCTTTCTCCCTACCACTATGCTAAAACTGCTCTAGCAAAGGTCTCCAAATTTGTAACTGGAAAATTCGTGGGTATGTCTCAGCCTTCACCATACTTTGCCTCTCTGAAGTTTCCCACCATGTTCACTATTTCCTCCATTTTGGAGGACTCTCACCCATGAGCATCAGTGACACCAGAGAAGATTCTGGGTCTCCTCCTGCCTTCATTTCTCTGCTTTCTCCTTTGCTGAATCATCTTCCTTTGCCTGCTCTTTAAATTTTGGTTTACCCACAAAAGCTAGGTTGTGTGGCATCAGAGCAGAAATCTCGCCTGTTTTGTTAACTTCTATTGTCCAAGTGCTTAGAACAGCTCTATTCACATGGAAGATCTTTGCTGTATACTCTGAATAAATATAGGGAATATTGTAGTGAAAAGCACACCGTCTCTGCCCTCAAGTAGCTTGCAATCTGGTGAAGATAACAAATAAGTAAACAGAAAATGATAACACAGTGGGTCTTATGTCCTACAGCTTCTTCCATACACTTAACCGTCACCCTTTACTGTAAAACGCAGTAGAATTAAACCACCTGCAAGTACTGAGAGCATCCCCCCTTTCTTTTGCATGAGCTATTTATGCAAGTCTTCCTGTGAAAACACTATTCTATGTTCTAAGCATTTTACATGGATTAATTAATCCTCATAATAATCAATGAAGTATTACTATTATCTCCATTTTACAGATGAAGTAACTGAGGAACAAAACAGCTGATATGTTGCGGCACTAGCATTTGAACCCTTGAAGTTCGTTCTAGGGCCCTTGCTCACAAACACTATACTATAGTCTTACTTCACCTTGCTTCACCAGCGTGTCCATCCACCTGGTAAATTCTTATTTATCCTTTAGTACCAACTCAGGCATCACTTTCTCCATGATGCCTTCCCAGAGTTAATCATTCACTTCCTTCCTGGTGTCGTCATTGTCTCTTGTACACGCCCATGTTGCTATATCTGTCACACTATTATATCCATTTAAGGACTGATCTAACCCTGTACAGAGCTCAGGTTACACATAAGAGTTACATTGGACTGTAAAGTTCCCACATTATTTCCTGAACAGCCGTTTTACTCATCAATGCTCAGTTTTGCCTCTTGCCATCAGTTTACCAGCCTTCATTCTCAGCTCCTTGCCTGCCTTAGCTCTTTAAATTGACTGGTTGTTAACCTACTTTACCAAATCTATCTCTGCCTGCTACCTCTTCTGGACTTTCCCTCTTTTCAGCATGACCCTGAGGAGTTATCACCAGCAGTCCCAATGGGATGTGGTTCATCCCCCAACCTGATTCTGGATGATTTGTACTCATAATTATTTGGTTTAAGTCTTTGGTTTCACTCAAATTGCCTCATGGAGCAGAGGAATTGTTAAGCTCTATCTGGCTCTGGTAGCGTAGTGGTTACGAATCGGGCTGCGAACCTTAAGGTCAGCGGTTCGAAACTACCAGCCGCTCCACGGGAGAAAGATGAGGCTTTCTACTCCCGTAAAGATTTACACCCTCGGAAACCCTGGACAGGGTCGTTATGGGTCGTTATGGGTCGGACCCGACTCGATGGCACTTAACAACAACAACAATCTGGCTCGTAACAATCTATTTAACTTTAATTAATTAAATGATTATTTGATTCTCTGACTTTTTCATTCAACACATGTTCTTGAGCACGTACTATGCACCAACCCCAGTGCTAAGTATTAGAGATACAAAGATGAATGCCTTTGAGGAAATTTGTGGGTAGACTTTAGACTTACAGGGGTAGGGGCGGGGATATGCCATGATGACTTCTAGAATCCATGGATACCCTAATATCATCTGTGAAAATTTCTATTTATGAAGTGTCTTCAGCATTTTATATATATAGTTAGCCGGAGCAGACTTCAATTCTACAATTTTGACTCACTCTGTACAAAACTTGTATTTACACATTTCAAAAGGTACGTTTCTACCTAACTAATGTTCAGAATGAACTCATGCAAAGAAAAGACCCACTGACAAGGGCAGATGGGCTTCTCCAGGACTATTTGCAAAACTTTTCATTCCAAAAAGTCAATACCGTAAAGGTAGTTGTTCTTCAAGGTTATGGGGTGCTTTCCGACTCATAGTGACCCTGTATAGGGTTTCTGAGGCTGTGACTCTACACGGGATCAGAAAGTCTTAGCTTTCTTTGGAAAAAGAGTCATAGGAAGACGATACAAAAAAATTAGTCAAGACTCAAGAGAGCACAATGGGTTTTGTGTGAGTTTTAAGGTGAGGTTGTGTGCTTAGCACAGAAACCCTAAGGCTGACAAGTCCTGATCTGTGGGCACCTGGACTGGCCAACCAGAGCCCAGGGGCCGGCTGAGTAACACTTGAGCAACGTAGCAAGAGGGAAGGGCGTGTACCGCCAAGCGGCTATTGCTCTAGGCAGACAGCACCGCACAGCTCTCCGCCCCGCTCCGACTCGCAGCGAACGGTTCCCAGCTCCGCTCCAACATGGTAAGCCTACATTTTTTATTTTTTATTTTAAATCGTTCATCCTCTAAAATGAAAAGACAGGAGAAAAACAATCTATCTTTCCCACCAGGCTTTATCTTTATCTGTGGACGTGGCAGGAAACCAGAAAAAGGAAATTTCGTGGGAGAGTTAGGGGAGAGGACAAGGAAAGAAGCAACCCTAAGATTATACCTGTAATCACAGCCTAAGTGTGGAAAGTGGCAGTTCTGTTTGTTTTCCAGCGGTGATAAGGACTAGATCTGGGGAGGAGGAAGTGGAGGGCCCGCCCTGGGGACAGTTATGCTGCGCTCGGCACGGGCGCCTCCCTGATAAGGGGGTGAAGGCATCGCTACAGTTTCTGGGCACTAAGAGGTCGCTTCTCACTCAACCAATAATGGAGCGAATTGCTACGATTTCCTGTATATGCTTAAAGCCCTCCCAGAGCTCCTCCAAATTACGGGCCTGGACGTCTGTGAGAAAAGTTAAAGAAAGAAGTTAGGATCCTCTGAGGCTCACCAATAATCTGTGAAGCAGAAAGCGAACACAGTAGAACTTAGTTGTCTACAGTCCTGAAGGCAAATCAGTTTCAGTAAGCAATCAAAAGGCCTAGACACAAAGAGACTGAAACTAAACCCTGTCACTGAGCAGCACAGCTAGGAATGTGGGAGGGGCCCAGTCCTTTCTGCGCCAAGCTTCCTCCTTTCTTTTCCTTCTACCCCACCATCTTTTTTCGTACTCACTCCTCCATCGCCTACTTTTCTGTCAGCTCCTTCCAATTCCACTTTGAACCTTTTTGTACCTTTTCCATGAATCCACCTTCAAACTCATCTACCTCCTCTTTTGCTTCTCTTTAGAGAAGGGGTCAACGCTACCACTCCAAGGCCAGGAGTTAAGAATCAGTTTTACATTTTTAAATGGTTATGGGGAATAGAAAAAAGAATATGAAACTTGAACTTACATGTCCAGGAAGTTTTACCAAAGCACAGCCACACCCATTCATTTAGATATTGTCTGTGGTTGCTGTAAAGTTGTTAAGTGGTGCAAAGTTGTTCTGGTGTGATACTATAGGATCAGCACTGAACTGCTAACCATAAGGTCAGCAGTTCAAACCCACCAACTGCTACTCTGAAACCCTATACAGGGTCAATATGAGTCAGAATCGACTCGATGGCACTTACCAGAAACAGCAACGAATCTGAAGCGCCTGACAATCTGTTTCTGTTGAGATTATAGACAACAAAATCCTGTGTAGCAGTTTATCCAGACATAACACTCGATGGCAACAGGTTGTTTAGTAGATGGTTGATTTCCTTCTGTAACAGCAGAATTATGAAGCTGTGACAGAGACCACATGGGCCACAAAGTCTAAAAAATTAATATCTGGCCCTTTACCAAAAAAGTTTGCCCAATTCTTACCATAGTGTGCCAATATGCATTCCCACCTACTTGTTTCCCTTTTTGCCTGATACCTTGAAAAGGCAGGTGCAGTCTAGTGAAGGGCTTGGACTGATTGTCCTTGAAGAAGGTGATGGATCTGAACCTAGATCCATAGGAGGAAAGTGAGAGCAATTGGTTGGGAATCAGAACTACAACAGTTGGCTATTTTTTTAAGTTTGATTGCTTTTTCACCTTTTTGGTGGCTGGAGAGGGGAGAGGTGCCTAGGTGGTTTTTAGAGGGTTTTGGTTTTGCTTTTCTCAGATGTTGAGTGCTTAGCTTGTATTTTTAAATTATTTCACTATATCCACTTACCAGATTGTGTTCTCCTTCCTAAAATGATTCCCACAAATAGATACCATGAGGTGTCAGGAGTGTGGATTCCAGTCTGTCTGGAGTTCTTTCAGCCCCGGCTTCACATTGGGCAAATACCTTCACATCTTTGGGCCTCCTCAGGGACCATCTCCCAAGTCCCCTCAAAGTCTACAAATTATACAACTCCACTTGAGTCATATGATAGTTGTTTCTTTTGCTTTGGAGCATTATCACTAGAGGGGGTATCGGGACACAATGCAGGGAAGTCTTCATCTTCACCATGTGACTGGTAGCAGCAGTTTTAAAGAGAAAGATACAACTAAATTACCATCAAGACTGGTGTTGGGGAGGGGAGAAAGTAAAGCAGAAAGCCACTTTGAAACTGGAACATCAAAACAATCTGAGTTCTGCCAGGGAAAGGGACAAAAAAAAAAAAAAAACACAAAAAACAAACCATCTGTAGGTCTAGGAAAAGGTCACAAAGCCCTGCTTCTCCATCTGGAAACTTCTATCCTCTGGTGCCTCCTCCCAGCCAAGCTTCTTCCTGTCATCTGCCATATATGACAGTGAGATTTTCGTCCTGAGAATATCATGGTGTCCCAACACAGCTGTTTCCAGGGTATGGCATTTCCTTCCAACAAACTGAACATACCAACATTTTCTTTTTTCCTTTAGGGGAAAAAATTCCAACAGTGTGACACCTCTAGAAAAGTTCAGGTGTTCTGGATCCCCCCAGGGGGCGAGGGCATCTTAGGCTTGGAAAGCGCCTGGGGAGAAGAAGTAATACTGCTACTGGATAGGGCAAGCAGCTCTTAGGGTTCAGATCAATACGGAAATCCTTAGCACATGTTAATTACGGGTCCTGAAAGCCTCTAGCTCTGGCTCCGGAAAGTCCACCCCAAGAACAAATCAAAAGCTAATACTAAATGGCATACATTATCATCCAGACATAGTCATTTTTATACCATCCTTAGACGCCTAGAGGAAGGGTGTGGCAGGAAAAAGTCCCAGAATGTTTGCAGCTGCTATTCTTGTCCACCAGGGGAAGCTCCGGAGCTTGTCATGCCTGGAGCCCTGCGTCCCTGCACAAATGATGGGCAGGCTCAACAAGACAGAATTTCCTTGAGGAAAGTAGAGTCGAACACAGCATTTGGCTCTCTTGCTCCTGGTACAGCCACAGAGTGGTTGAGCTCCAGAAGTTATGGGAGTTCCTTAATAGTATCCACATGAGCATAAGAACAAATTCCAGTTTGAAGTAACCTCCAGCTCCACCTGCTTAGAAGCTCCACAGACACATTCATTCCTGTGGGAATTAGTGACACCTAGAAGTGGAAGGAGAAAAGGCTAAGGACTGTAGAAAAGGAATCTTGAGGCTCTAATTCTAAAGGTGACTCTGCCCTGTGGATTTTCTCCTCGTGCCTCAGTTTCCTTAGTTGCTAGCTTTCAAGTATGAAAGCCACTTTTGATTTTTTGTTTTATAATAATTTTTTGTGCCTTCATTGAAGGTTAATACAGCAGTTTAGGTTCCCATTCAACAACTTCTATACATATTATTCAGTGACACTGGTTAAATTTTTTACAATGTGTGAAGATTCTCAGTACTTCCACCTGATTTTTCCATTTCTATTCATTTAGTTTCCCGGATTACATTCTCTTTTTTATTTTAAAGTAATTGTTGACCATTTTGTTGAAAGCCACTTTTGAACATCCAAAAAGTTCTCAAACATATGCCTTACTCCACGCACAATAGTAGTTATGCTTTTAGTTTCTTTGAGAAAATGCATGTGTCTCAGGAATTCAGTCTTGCTTTGACAAGATCTGACACCTCATTCACCACACTATGGGAAAACAGGAAAGTATTTAATCTATAGGCACTGCAAGGGATGCATGTGGATTTTTGGATCTGTGAGAGTACAAAAAGCATTGCTACTAAGGGTTCCAGTTCACATATATTCCATGCAAAAAGACGTTAAACTTGGATGGCTGCAGACACATTCTCTCAGTAATACTCTTGACATGAAACTTGGATGGCTGTAATATTCTTGATTTTAAATTTGGATGGCTGTAATACTCTTGATGTTAAACTAGGATGGCTGCAGACATGTTCTCTCAGTAATACTCTTGACATGAAACTTGGATGGCTGTAATATTCTTGATTTTAAATTTGGATGGCTGTAATACTCTTGATGTTAAACTAGGATGGCTGCAGACATGTTCTCTCAGTAATACTCTTGACTTAGTCTCTTTAGGGTGTCTTCAAAATAAAGATCCACTCAAAACAGATGCTTTTCAGGGGCTCTGCTGAGCCAGTTAAATTCAAGGCAGAGAGGTCAGCTCAGAAGGTTATGATGACTCTTTTGGGGGATCCCAAAAAGGTCATCTTGACAGATTTTCTTGAAAAAATACAGGACAATTATGGGACTGGTGTGGCGTTGTGGGTTAATGTGCCAGATTGCAAAGCAGTTTGAACTGCGAGGTCGGTGGTTCAAGCTCACCAGCTGTTCCTTGGAGACCCTATACAGCGTCATTATGGGTCAGAATCAACTTGACAGCACTTAACAACAACAACTAGGATGAAATTTATAAAAATTGAAAATTGCACTGGTAGAAAAGGCAAGGAAAGTTACACCAGGGAAATTTTTCAATAACACAATGCATTGTACAAGGGTAGCAAAGACTGTCCTTTATCTTGCCCCTTCAGACTATATTTGTTCCTCCAACTCAAAGACCAGTGAAAAGGAACACTGATTTGAGTCCCTCGAGGATACCAAAACTTCCATATATATATATATATATATATAGTTGTTGTTTAGTACCGTGGAGTAGGTTCTGACTCATAGCGACCCTGTACAAGGTTTCCGAGGCTGTAAATCTTTACGGGAGCAGAATGCCTCAGCTTTCTCCCACGGAACAGCTGGTAGTTTCGAACCGCTGACCTTGAGGTTGGCAGCCTGACTCGTAACCACTATGCTACCAGAGCTCCTTAAGGCACTTAACAACAACAGGCATGTTGTTGTTGTTAAGTGCCTTCAAGTCAGTTCTGACCCATAGCAACCCTGTATAGGGTTTCCAAAGAGCATCTGGTGAGCTTGAACCACCGACATTGAGATTCAAATGACCTTACAGTCCAGTGCGTTAACCCACAGCACCACACCAGGACTCCATATATATGTATCTAAATGTCTTTAAAATGTCTATAAACCCTGCCAAGCTGACCCTTATCTAGGGAGACATGCCTAGAACTCTTTCACCTGGAATAACCTGTGAGGAGGGCTAAAAAGGATGCTTACACACAGAAGATGACTCTTTGGCCTGCCTTTTAGGAAATTACTTTGGCCTAAAGGGAAGAGTTAAGATTCTGTGGAGTGTCCTCTAGCATCTGGTCCTTGACAGCTTGCCCTTGTCTAAGCCCTGGATTTTCTCTCCAAAGGCTAAAGTCTCTGGCCCCACAGAAACCGAGCGATGCATCGAGTCCCTGATTGCCGTTTTCCAGAAGTATGCTGGGCAGGATGGTCACAGCCTTACTCTGTCCAAGAGGGAGTTCCTGAACTTCATGAATACGGAACTGAGTGCCTTCACAAAGGTACTGGTCTCAGCCCTGAAACCCTGTCTCTGCCCCCCCCCCCCCAATACACACACACACTAAACTACCCAAGCATGAAACCAAGCTCCAACAGAAAGACCAGGAATGAAGGCGCAGCTGTGACTCCCCACACTCTAGGAACAATGGCACGTGTCTGCCCGTGTGTTAACCTGAACCTCCCACTGCAAACTGAGTGGTCCACAGAGCAACTCAGGCTGAGTCCTTAAACCTTGGACTGAGCTCTGGATACCTTTAACTTTATGCTAAACTTTTTGTTAAAGTGGTTGTTGTTGTTGTAAGGTACTGTGGAGTCGGTTCCGACTCACAGCAGCTCTGTGTTGGGTTTCCAAGGCTGTAAATCTTTACGGGAGCAGAAAGCCTCATCGTTCTCTCGGAGAGTGGCTGGTAAGCTTGAACCATGGACCTTGTGCTTATCCAACAGAATCACTGCACTCTTTAAAGTAGGATGTGTTTAAAAGATCAAAATGTGCACACTTACACAAATAGACAATGGTGAATTCATTTTTCCTATACAAGGCAATAACTAAATAGCCACATGTGACCCAAAGTTGTAAATATGCTGTAGGGTAGGGGGTTAAGAGCAAGGCTAAAGTGATAAAGGCACGAAGTGACGGGCTTACAAGTTTTTCAGAGGGAGTTTAGTTTAAGAGTTTGTGGGGGAAGGTAAGAGTCCCCACTGAATAGTTTTCATCTTGTCTAGACAAGTCCAGTAAAAAGAGATGGGGATAAGATTCTTAGGATTCAATAGTGACTAATTGTTATCATGACTAATTGCGTTTGTCACAACTGTAAAGATAGAAGTTTTCGTAACAAAAATGGGGGGAGTAGTTAATCTTATGTCCAGAAACAGAGGACCCTAGAACCATCAAGGGAGACAAGCACAAGCGGAATGTGTGACCCTATCCAGAGAAGCGGAGATACCAGAGACGGGAACATGGAGAGAGGGAGCAGCTGAGGACTCTGTACTCATAGAAAGAGAGGAACTAAGTGCTGGCAGCCAGGAGGCAGGCTTGCAGAATATGCCTTCGGGTGGTTTAAATTATTATATATTCCTGAGTGTGTACATCTCCCCACCCACCACTCTTACCACCCCCCCCCCAAAAAAAAAAGAAAAACAGAGGGAATGAAAGCAAATACTGTTGAATGATGATACTTGGAGGAGACTGTAATCATTGCAATGAAACGATGGTGTAAAGCTGATGTTCTCCCATGTAAACTATCACTCAGTTCACAATCAATCAGTAAAAAATATATTAATACCTGCAATAGCTTAAAATACACACACAAAAAAAAGAATGAGGCTGATCAGGTGGGACCTGTGTTCTCATCCCAACACAAATCACTCCACTTTGATATATTTTATATAGATTGACGTTTCACGCCATACTTGAAAGAAGAGCCCACCATTTTACTAAATTAAATGACCCCTGATCTCACAAGAAGAACCCCAGAATAGGAGCAAGAAAATTTGGGTTCAAGTCCCAGGTCTGCCTTTTGGGGGAGTCACTTCACCTCTTTCAGTATCTGGAAAATGGAAATATTAATAACCCTGTACCTTACATGAAAACACCTTAGAAAGTACAAAAGTATTAGTATTATTATTATTATCTTTGCAGAACCAGAAGGATCCCGGTGTCCTTGACCGCATGATGAAGAAACTGGACCAGAACGCTGATGGGCAGCTAGATTTCCAAGAATTCCTTAATCTTATTGGCGGCCTTGCTCAAGCGTGCCATGACTCTTTCATGAAACGTCTCCACTAGCAAACCTGAGGAGCCTCGAGCCTGACCTCCACGCCCAGCCCCTACTCACCATCTGCTCCTCACATCCCATGCACATCCTGAGCCCAGCACACACACCATCCCCTGCAGGCCACTCCTGCTCGTCCTAATAAAACAGTATGGTTTTTTTAAACATATGCTGGAGCATCAGTAAATCTGTGCACAGGACAAGGGACAGTTAAGAGGAATGTAAACTACACTGCTAGAAGCAGTTTACCAGAAGCTGTATCCAAACAAAATGTCCACTGCCATTCAGTTCTTACTGATTCATGTTGTTGCTGTTAGGTGCCATGAGTCAGTTCCAACTCACAGTGACCCTGTCCACAACAGAACAAAACCCTGCACCACCCTCATGATTGTTGTAATGTTTGAGCCCATCATTGATGCCACCATGCCAATCCTCCTCATTGGGGCTCGTCCTCTCTTTCATTGACTGTCCATTTTATCAAGCATGATGCCCTTCTCCAGGAGCTGGTCCCTCCTGACAACACATCCAAAGTACAAGAGACGAAGATTTTATAACAAATCTGTGTTGGAAGAAGCACAACCAGAATGTTCCTTAGAAGTGAGGACGGCGAGACTTGGTCTCGCATACTTCAGACATGTTATTAGGAGGGACCAGTCCCTGGAGAAGGACATCATGCTTGGTAAAGGGCCAATGATAAAGAGAAAGACCACCAACAAGATGGACTGACACAGTGGCAGCAACAGTGAGCTTAAACAAAGCCATGTGAGGATGGCGCAGGACCGGGCAGAGTTTCACTCTGTTACACATTGTGTTGCTAAGTTGGAACTGACTTGACAGCATCTAACATACCCACACACACAAGCATTCTGACTACTTTTCCCAAAACAGATTTGTTTGTGTTTCTGGCAGTCCAAGATACTTTGAATATTCTTCGCCAATACCATAATTCAAATGCATTCATTTTTCTATGGTCTTCCGTATACATTGTCCAACCTCCCCATGCACTCTACGAAGGACAGAGTAAGACAGCCCATGGGGCTCCCAAGGTTGTAAATCTTTACAGAGGCACAGACTCTCTTCTTTCTCCCTCAGAGGTTTAAACAGCCAACCTTGTGGTTAGCAGTCCAACACTTATCCCACTGCATTTTAGAACTCCAGAAGCTCTATGTTGTTGTTGTCAGTTGCCATCAAGTTACTTACGAGTATAGGGTTTCCAAGGAGTGGCTTAGTGGGATTGAACTGCCAACCCTGTGGCTAGCAGTCTAGTGTTTATCCTACAGCACCACACCAGAAGCTCTATGTTTTTATTAGTAAGTGCCATTGAGTCGGTTCCGACTCACAGCGACCCTGTATAAGGTTTCCGAGGAGCCTCTGGTGGGTTTGAACCACTGACCTTATGGCTAGCAGTCCAGTGCTTATTCTATAGTGCCATGCCAGGACTCTATGTTGTTGTTGTTAAGTGCCATCGAGTCAGTTCTGACTCATAGCTACCCTGTATAGGGTTTCCAAGGAGCAGTTGGTAAGCTTGAACCACCGACCTTGCAGTTCAAATGGTGTTGCAGTCTGACGTATTAACCCACAGCCCTCACTCTCTCTCTCTGTATATATATATGTTGTCTTCTTAACATAACAAAGAAAACCCATTGTCAAGTGGAATTATAATCACGGGTATTGTTGTTGGGTTAGGTGGTTAGGTGCCTTTGAGTCTCTTCTGACTCAGTGACCCCATACACAATAGATCAAAAGACTTCCTGGTCAGGCGCCATCCTCACAATTGTTACATTTGTGCCCATTTCTGCTGCCACCATGTCAATCCATCTTCTTGGGGGTCTTCCTCTTTTTTGTTGACCCTCCACTTCACCAAGCATGATGTCCTCCAGGGACTGGCCCCTCCTGGTAACATAACCACAGGTATAGGAGTTAAGATTTACAATGCACAGATTGTTTGTTGTTGTTTAAGCGCCATCCAGTTGGTTGAGGCTCATAACAACCCTGTATAGGGTTTCCAAAGCTGTAAATCTTTGTGGGGGCAGAAAGCATCATCTTGCCCCTGCAGAGCAACTGGTGGGCTCAAACTGCTGACCCTTTGGTTCACAGTCCCATGCTTATCTTAGGACCCACCATACTCCCCTATGCATTCATTATTGTTGTTAAGGGTCATCTAGTTGGTTCAAACGCACAGATACCCTGTATAGGGTTTCTGAGGAGCAGTTGGTGGGTTTGAACCACTGATTTTGTGGTTCAAACAGACCTTGTGGTCCCATGCTATATCTTACAGCACCAAACACATACATTGGAGGGACACAAATCCATAGCAGAGGTCATCTAAGAGTTGAAAGCTTTTTTAAAAAATAAAATATATAAAAACAGAAAGCTTTCTTTTTTGATAGTTCATCCAAGAATGAAGTCCTTGACAACTTCAGTCTTTTCTCCACTGATAAGAATGTTGTGTCTGAACAAATACTTTACTGAATAGATAAATGACGTTGTATAAAGTGCCGTCGAGTCAGTTCTGACCCACAGTGACCTTTATAGGGTTTCCAAGAAGCGGCTGGTGAGCGTGAACCACCAACCTTGTGGTTCAAACCAACCTTGCAGTCCAGCACATTAACCCACAGTGCCACACCAAGACTTCAGATAAATGATGGTAGTTGGTGGTTATGTGCCGTGGAGTCGGTTCCGACTTATAGTGATCCTGTACAGGGTTTCTGAGGATGTAAATCTTTTTGTGAGCAGAAAGCCTCATCTTTCTCCTGTGGAACAGCTGGTAGTTTCGAACAGCTGACCTTGAGGTTCGCAGCCCCATTCGTGAACACTACGCTACCAGAGCTCCTTAGATAAATGATAGCACTGAAAAATCAGACTTGGGTCATAATGTGTGAAGAGTCAGGATCCCTATAGAAAACACACGTACATACAAAGGGGTAAACTAAAGATTTTAGTAGAGAGACAATTTACTAAGGTGTAAGTAGGTATAAAGGAGCTCTGGTAGCATAGTGCTTACGAATCGGGCTGCGAACCTCAAGGTCAGCAGTTCGAAACTACCAGCTGCTCCATGGGAGAAAGATGAGGATTTCTGCTCCCGTAAAGATTTACAGCCTTGGAAACCCTGTTCAGGGTCGCTATGGGTCGAAACCGACTCGATGGCACTTAACAACAAGTAGTAAGTAAAAACTAAAGATTTTAGTAGAGAGACAATTTACTAAGGTGTAAGTAAAGGAGCTCTGGTAGCATAGTGGTTATGAACAGGGCTGCTAACCTCAGGATCATCAGTTTGAAACTACTAGCTGTTCACTGGAGAAAGATGAGGCTTTCTGCTCCCGTAAAGATTTACAGCCTCGGAAACCCTGTACAGGGTCGCTACGAGTCAGAACCGACTCCACGGCACATGACAACAACAACAAAGTAGGTATAGGAGTCCTGGTATGGTGCTGTGGGTTAATGCACCAGACTGCAAAGTCATTTGAACTGCAACATCGGCAGTTCAAGCTCACCAGCTGCTCCTTGGAAACCTCATACAGGGTTGCTGTGGGTCAGAACCGATTCGATGGCACTTAACAACAACAACAAAAAGAAGGCAGGTACAGGAGTCCTGGTGTGGTGCTATAGGATAAGCACTGGACTGCGAACCACAAGGTCAGCAGTTCAAGCCCACCAGCTGCTCCTTAAAAATCCTGTACAGGGTCACTATGGGTCAGAATTGACTCGACAGCACTGAACAACAACAGCAAGCAGGGATAGAGCCCTGGTGTGGCTATAGGATAAGCACTAGACTGCTACCTGCAAGCTCAGCAGTTGAAACCCACTTGCCACACTCTCAGAAACTTAATTATTGTTGTTAAGTGCAGTCAAGCCAGTTCTGACTCATAGTAACCCCATATAGGGTTTCAGAGTCTTTAAATCTTTTGGGGAGCAGAAAGCCTCATTTTTCCCCTGCAGAGCAACCGGTGGGCTCGAACTGCCTATCTTGTGATTTACGGTCCAGTGCTTATCCTATGAAGCCACCACACTCCCCAGAAACAGGATCGCTGTGTATTGGAACTAGCTAAACGGTACACAATAACAACAACAGATAGGGATAAGGGAAAAAAAAAAAAACAAGAGATAGTGAAGTACCTGGACCCTACCAAATTAACAAGCTCTTAACCACCCCAAGGCCTGACTGGGCCAAGTAAGGGAGCAGTTACTGGAATCCAGCAAGAACCACTAAGGGAGAGGGCACACTCAGAAAAGCTGTAGCCTTAGGTATAGAAATGCAGCCACCTCCACTGGCCAGCCCAACAGGGCAGAGAAGAGTAAAAAGTTGATGTAGGTGGGCAAACAAAACATCTACCCAGCACATTGTGGAAAGGTGACATAAGCCAGGCAAAAAATAGAGTGCCAACACTAATGTTTTATTAGTAGAATGTTTCAGAACAAACAACAACAAAGTCAAGCAAAAATCCACCCCTTTTGATAGCAACCCTGTATAGAGTTTCCATCCCTCTTAATGAAGATTTGCACCATGATGTTAAGATCTTGGTCAAGAAGGTGACTTGAGCAGATACAGGAAGTCCTCCTCCCCTTCAAACAATGTTGGATAAAACAGCACTCCTTTCCATAACTCCTCCCCTTCTCCTCTAAAAGAGCTGAAAGACTTGGTCAGCTCAGAAGGCAGAAAGAGAAATCCCCAGATGACAGTGGTAAAAAGGGAGCTCAAGACTGTAACCGTGAGGCAGAGCAGCAGATGGGGCCAGGCTACCACAATGGACCACTCGGAAGGTATCGCACTAGAAGGCCCTGCATACAGTGCGAGGAGAAAGTAGAACCAAACCAGGAATCATAAAAAGACCAGGCTTACTGGTCAGATAGAGACTGATGGAACCCCCAAGACTATGGGCCTTAGTCACCCTTCAGGTCTGGAACTGACCCACCCCCAGGGCTCAATTTTCAACCAAAAGGAAAAACAATGAGGCAGAGTTGAGGCCAGGTGACCCAGATGCAAGGCCAAACAAAGGCTTTGGTGGACAACTTT